AAAAAAGTAATATGCAACTTGACCCTAACAGCCAGAACAACTGGTCACTATGACACACACTGACCACCAGGGGGCAGACACTCAATACAGGAGCTGTCCCCTGGTGGTCACTGCACTCCCACAGGGGGAGCTCTGCTCAGCCACAAGCCAGGCTGATGGCTGCCAGCACAGCAGTGATGGCGGGAGCCTCTCCCGCCTCCTCAGCAGCGCTAAGGATGTCCGACTGCAGCTTAGGCCTGCTCCCTGCTGGCAAGTGGACATCCCCCGAGGGTTCCCGGGCTGCCAGAGGGATGTCTGACTGCTAGCTTAGGCCCAATCCCCTGGGTAGCAGGTCTAAGCCAGCAGGTGGACATCCCCCGAGGGGTCCCAGACTGCGAGAGGGCACAGGCCGGGCTGAGGGACCCCTCCGAGTGCACAAATTTTTGAGCATCGGGCCTCTAGTATATTATATAATTTTATATAAGTGAAATGTCCAGAATAATCACATCTATAGAGACAGAAAATAGATTTGTAGTTGAATAGGACTTAGGGAATGGGGTGAAGGGTTGGGGAATGACTGCTAATGGATACAGGATTTATTTTGGGGGTGATGAAAATGTTCTAAAATAAAATTGTAGTGATGTTTGTACAACTCTGTGATAGAAAAATTATCGAATTATGCACCTTGATTGGGTAAAGTCTATAATATGTGAATTATATCTCAATAAGGCTGTTTTTTAAAAGTAGAGGGAGTAACATGAATTCATGTAACACTATGAGCACTTGCTGCATGCAAAGCTTTAAGCCAGGTTATAGAGATATTGCAATTAATGAGTTAAAATTAACTGATAAGCCCTGGCCAGGTAGCTCAGTGGGTTAGAGCATCGTCCTGATACACCAGGGTTGCAGGTTCAATCCCCAGTCAGGACACATACAAAATCAACCAATAAATGCATAAATAAGTGGAAAAACAAATTGATGCTTCTCTCTTTCTCCCCCTTCCTCTCTCTCTAAGAATTAATTTAAAAATAATAATTGATAAAGCTCCTGTCTCGGCACTTACAGTCTAGCATGTGGTGGCACAAAAGCATGAGAAAATAGATCTAGTTGGGGTAACACGCCATTCCCTAAGTCCTGTTATTCAAAATGTACTTTTCTGAGTTAACATTTTAATTTAAATTGTGATTCTTTATGTACTATAGATCATGTCAGCATACAAAAAAGCATACTTAATGTGTATGTAAGCGAAGAAAATTACAAGTTATTTATATTTGTCTTTTTAAGCCTAATGGTGGTATTCCACATGATCATCTTGTTCTAATCAGAATGAAACCTGACGAAAATGGAAGATTTGGATTCAATGTAAAGGTAATCTAAAATTTATATTGTACTCAGTTTTTAAATTAAGATGTTTCTATTTTGCTAATATTTGATTTGCTCTGTTTTTAAGGGAGGATATGATCAGAAGATGCCTGTGATCGTGTCCCGAGTAGCACCAGGAACACCTGTGAGTTATCTAAATCTCCCAAGTAAACCCTATTTTCAAGAATATGTACTTATTTTAATTAGTTAAAAAGGAAATAATCATTCTTTTAATTTGTCAAGTATCTACTGTTATTGGTTGGCTATCTTAAATTGCTGGAAAGTTAGTTTTTATTTATTCCCTGTCTAAAAGAGTTTTTAAAATCCTTGTGTTTACAAAGAAGCTGGTGTATGACTTTCAGTGCTTCTAAAGTGTAAATAGATCTTATCAGAATAACCCCTTAAACAGCAAAATGTAGACAGGAGCCCAGCTGGTGAGGTTCAGAGGTTGAGTGTCAACCTATAAACCAAGAGGTTATGGTTTGATTACTAGTCAGAACACATGCTTGGATTGCAGGCTCCATCCCCAGTAGGGGGCGTGCAGGAGACAGCCAATCAATGATTCTCTCTTATCATTGATGTTTCTCTCTCTCTCCCTTTCCCTTCCTTTCTGAAATCAATAAAAACATATATTTCTTTAAATGTAGACAGGAGGTATATTTTTTATTTATTTTGTGTGGGGTTTTTTGCTTTTTTTTTTTTTCATTTAGAATTGTTTACTTAGATTCCATTTGCCTTCTTATGTTTTAAAAAAACTTACTTTAAATAGAAATAGTACCAGTGATTATTTTTTCTTTATAAGGACAATTTTTAAACTTTTTATTATGAACATTCTAAACAGAAAGGGTGAAAATATTTTAGGTACCCATTATGATGACTTCCCCTGTTCCCATTGTTTAGCTCAGCACTCCTGAACTTCATGCTCATCATAAGGACAGCTCTTAATTAATTATGGCTGCATTAGCCTTATTGCACTTCCATGCAGCAAATATAGCTTTCAAATTTACATTTATGTTGTTGCCTACTTTACCTAAATGGTCTGCGAGGACTTTTCAGTCAGCACCCTTTATCATTTAACTGTCTCCCTGCCCCTAGGAAAGGTATATAAATCAGCAGCTTGAGAGAAAGAGATCACTTATGTCTTTTTTGGTGCTTTGAAGCTACCTCAAAGTTAGTTTGAAGATCAGAGTCAAGATTAATTAAGGATAGCATAATATGTTGTTTTGATTTTGAAGGACTTTGTTGGTTGCAAATAATAGGACATTTACTTATGGAATATCCCTTTCAGCATAACTACAGCTTCTCTTTAGACTCTATCATACTTCAGTTTGATGCAAAAATGTTTTATTTGCAGTTTTCATTTTGTCATATATTAAAAGGTGCATATTCAAGGATTGAGATTAATTAAGTTAATTGTTTTACTGCTTCATCAAGAACAAAAAAATTAACATAGAGCTACATAGGTGTCTCATAAAACCAAGCACAGGAACACAGTTACACCTCCAGAAAGTACTCATCAGTCACTCTCTACTTTTTATCTATATTTCTTATGTGAATGTCCCATTCTTCTCTCAGTGCAAACCATTTTGTACACTGAATCTGCGACATCTCTCAAGCCACTTCAAATATATTAGTCTGAATAAAAATAGTGTATTTAGTGACAGGTCAAGTCCTGTAATATCACCACCACCAGACACACTCTGCCTTCAGATATAATTATGACTCCTAAATCTCTGCTAAATTAAAATTGTATAGCTACTGCTGTTTTGTCCTCAGTCCACATGGTAGGATATGACTACTAGTAACTTCCATATTTATATATTACCAGCTCAGCAACCCAAAACAATTAAGCAAGTACAAAATACAGGCTCCTGGGGAATAAACCAATCAGAGATCCAGTTTGAGTCACATGTCCTCTTTTAAACCTATCTTGAGGTCATAGGGGACAGGACATGGATACAATGTATAAAATTACTCTTGAGTCTACTATGCATATGAAGGATGGGGGCAAAGATGAGAAAAATAGTCCAAAATTATTTATTTAGTATATATTTAATGATAACTATGTATATGTTTTGACTACAGATGAAGAGATAAAAGGCTGTTAAATTCTGATCAAGTAGTAAGATAGATAATGTCTAACATAGAAAACTAAAAAAAAAAAAAACCAAAATGGGGGAGATATGTGGAGTTACTGAGATAAACACAAAAGATGTAGCTAAGATGTTGAAAGAAGTTGACTCTAGAGAGGGGAATGCGAGGGAAGAACACAAGAAATGGTTTCTGGTCTTAATCTTACAGCTCTAGTCAACTTTTTAAACTGTGTAATGTATAACTTTGCTAAAAACAAAAATTTTAATTACAACTTAAATATATATCTTTTGACCTGACAATGAATGGCCTCTAATGAAACAGTTGTGCTAGGGAACAAAAGATATACAAGGATGTTCACTGTAGTATTGTTTATAACAGTAAAAAATCAGGGGCAAATCAAATGTACATCATCAGAGCTGGTGAAATACATTATGTGTTGCTTTGCAGATATTGAAAAGGATGGTGTAGCTCTATTCTAGTATGTAGATATGTTCATAAGATATTATAAAAAATGAGTATTACAATTCTACATTTATGTTTGATCCAGTTTTTTAAAATGTGAATTATGTGTATTAAAAAGTCTGGATACATGCTTAAAATGTTAACAGTGTTTCATCTGAGCAGTGGAATTACTGATATTTATCACTTCTATATTCCTTTTTGAATAGATCATGACAGTGAGCATGCATTGCTTTTATAATTAGAAATGCAATAAACCTTTTTTATTATGCCAGTTGTAATAATCAGTGAATGACACAAAAGAAATATTGGTTTTTCTGAGCAGTGAATGTGGATAGTTATTAATTAACTCAAGGATGTTCAGGGAACATTCTATAGATAGGTTCACTTCCAAACAGAATTCTGTGACTCTAAATTTTCTTTTTAGGCTATACAGATTATTGGTAAATGTTTCCTTTTTGGCACATAGAACTGTGTTCCATATATATATTAGCTGAATTTAGGACAAATTAAAACAATAGAAGTTTATCATTTTTATATTATTTTACTAATTTGGAGACCATCACAATCTTCCAATTGGAAACCTCATTTTAAGTGGGGGAAAAAAGAGTTTTAAATATTTTAATTTTTTTTATTGTACTCCTGAAATGGATAAAATAATTCCCAATTAAAGTCAAATTTTTGTTCCAATAGCTGTTCATCTTTAAGCCAATAGCTGTTTATGCAACAAAATTTATTTTAATATACAATTCATCTGGACTTTCCAGATCAGAATGAAATGCAAATAAAAAATTATAAACATAACTGACAAAAGCAGATTAAGCATGAGAGAGTTCTTTCCCTTCAATGATAATGGGTAAAAAAAAAAAAATCTCTGCATGTTAGATATAGCATTTTGGTTAATACTGCCCTTTAGCCTCAATCCTTTATTATATCAGTGGCTATATGAAGGTACAGTTAGAGATTCATAACTATCTTCTCCTTAGCACATAGATTACCTCCTCTTTTCATTAACTATACTATCCACAAAGTAAGGTGAGAGTATAACTTTTTTCGCTATAATCCTTTTCTCCCAGAACCATTAATATCTTTCAGTTCACCACTCTTTGGGTACCTTGAAGACGTTTACAAAACTTGGACCAAATTGATACATAAATGTATCACACTACTAATACACAGAAGGCGTATAGGACTATCATCTGCTTCACTACAAGAAGGATAGAAAAAAGCAACTAGGGAGAATGGTTGTAACTTTAAATTTGAGTTCTCCAGATTTTAACACTTTGCATACTTACATCATTTTTATCTTCACAGCTCTTTGTTATTATAATCAGAGCAGATATCTGCTCCATTTTCAGAGTTTCAGGTGTCCCAGAGCACACATTTTATAAGCAGTAGAGGAAGAATATGGTTCCCAGACCAGTGTTCTTTTCATTAATAATATATCGTGTGGGATTTTATTGACTTTGTGTTTATAGTGAATTTGAGTAGTCATGTTTTCAAGTCTTCAAGCTTTTGCAACAGGAAGTTCCTTTTTGTGTGAGGTCCAACCCCATCATTTCCTTCTCTATCTGATCTTCATCCTTCAAACGTTATTCCCATGCCTTCTTATTGCTGTCCCTGGAATGTGCTGTCCATTTATCTCATTTGAATTACTTATTTATTGTCTCAATAAAATACAGGCAGTCATCACTTTGCACAGTAGTACAGGACCATAAAAATGACCATTTAAGCTGAAACTATGAAAAGTGACCTTGATAATCAATGGGGAAAATTATGGTTGTTTCTAAGACCTTTAAATTTTTCATTAAAATGTCTCTTACTTACCCTTATAAATGTATAGGGAGATGAGAAATAGTAAAACTAGCCCTGGCCGGATGGCTCAGTTGGTTGGAGCATCGTCCCATACACCAAAAGATTGCGGTTTGATTTCCTGTCAGGACACATACCTAGGTTGCTGTTTCAGTCCCAGTTGGGGCACGTATGGGAGGCAGCTAACTGATGTCTCTCTCTCCCATTCCCTTCCTCCTCTCTAAAATCAGTGCATGTCCTCAGAAGAGGATAAATAAATAAAATCTGTGAAACCAGTGCTTATTTTAAAAAAAAGTAAAATTAATACTGATTTACTGTCCTGTCATTCTAAACATTAGAAACATTGAACACTTAAGTATTTTATTTCTTCATGAAAACTTATAACAAGTAGTTTGAACAGGCTTGTGCCCTTCTCGTCATATAAGTTAAAATACAGAGTGAGCATTCTTTCTTGTCTTAGCAAATTGTCATAATTCTTTCTAAGTTTGAATTTACTTCCAATGTTTGGTCCTCTGCATTTTTTAAAGTAAACTTTTATTGATTTCAGAGAGGAAAGGAGAGGGAGAGGGAGAGAAAGATAGAAACATCGATGATGAGAGAGTATCATTGATTGGATGCCTCCTGCACACCCCCCACTAGGGATCCAGTGCACAGCCCAGGCATGTACCCTAGCCTGAAATTGAACTGTGACCTCTTGGTTCCTAGGTCAACACTCAACCACTGAGCCACACCAGCTGGCAGTCCTCTGCATTTTTAATGTTGTAAAATATCTCCAAGATTTCCTTTAATGAGAAGTTTTATGTCAGCATCATGTCCTCAATAAAGACTTCATCCTTTTTATTATACCCACTTTCATCATGTTGATAAGTTCCCCTTCACTAAATCCCCTTCTCTGTATATCTAGAGTCTCTTAAACCAGCGGTCGCCAACCGGTGGTCCGTGGACCACTATTGGTCTGTGAGGTCCGAAAGGTTGGCGACCACTGTCTTAAACAGTAGCAGTGTATATATCCACCATCAGCTGTTTTTTATCCATTTTTATGTGGGTTTATTGTTGGGAGATGAGGCAGCACAAGTATACACTTTGCTGTCTCTGCAGGAACTGAGTAACAGGTGCCCAGCGACAGATCACCAGCAGACATTGAATGAAGTGATGTGTTTGGTCATTGGTCGTGATATGTCTATCATTTATGTAGAGTTTTGGACTACAATCTAGCAGCAAAGATTGTATTTTATGTGATTATTTACAATTAATACATTCACAGTGGAAACTGAAATTTGCATCTTGTTGTTGAGAAATAGGTGTTACTTGACTAAACTGTGGTAACAGAAATTTGTACGTATCTGGATAGTGCAAAGTGAGGCCTGACTGTGTCTAGGCATCTCCAGATAACTAGTCTTACTTATCTGTATGGCTATGCATGTAATAAGGCATCAGGGGAAAAGTTGTTGAATGAAAATAGAAAAAAGTATAGTATCTTCATGGGAAAGCTAGATTTCTGTTTGGTTTGGTTTTTTGAGTAGATGAATGAATGGATAGATGTTTTTCCATATGTAGTTTTAGTTCTATAGAGTCTATAAAAATAAATTTTTGTGCTTTACTTTTTGAAAGCCATGTACAAATCTGAAACCTTATTTGCATTACGTTGCAGGCTGACCTCTGTGTCCCTCGATTGAATGAAGGTGACCAAGTTGTACTGATAAATGGTCGGGACATTGCAGAACATACCCATGACCAGGTTGTCCTGTTTATTAAAGCTAGCTGTGAGAGACATTCTGGGGAACTCGTACTTCTAGTCCGACCTAATGGTAAGTAGTCTACGTAGCACTGGATAGTTTTCATAATTATTAGTGTTTCTTACTGGAATAGCAGCCAGAGTAGGCTTTGAAACCTAAACCTGTCTTGTCATATCAGTTTCCTGCTCAGAGTATAGTGGCTTCCATTCACACTTGGAGTAAAATGTAAGTTCTTGACCTCCTTGCCTACCACTCAGCCTTGCTCACTCTGTTCTGTGCTGGCTTTCCTGCTATTCCTTCTGCCTACATTTTGTATGATTTTCCTGATTTTGTATGACTTATACTCACTTCCTTCAGGTTTCCTGTCACGTGTGATCCTCAGAAAGTCCTTCTCTTCTGACTACCATAGCTAAAATGGCCTCCTTCTTCTCCCACTTGCTCTAGTAGTAGTAATAGATAATCAATAAATAATTGTTGAATGAATTATTAAATTTTGAACTCTGTTCCACTTTTAGAAAACTCTGTAACAAGCTACAGTTAAAGCATTTTTTTAAGCCTGTCTGTGTTTTTAGTAGAGAATGCCTAGTAGCCTAATCATGTCATCTCCTGCTCTGGACAGCTGATGTGCTAATTCAGAGTCAGAGTCCCAGGGTTGGAGAAGCCCTAATGCTGTAAGCTCTGGCTCCTTTACTGACTGCTTGAGTTCCTCGGTAGCGATCTCAAGAATGTCCTACCAGTGCAGAGCACTCAGTAGCTCATGAAGTAGTTCATCCCCCCTTTGAATAGCTTGAACTATTAATTTGAACTAAAATCCAAATTTCTTCAGTCCTGTTGTTCCTAATTCTATCACTTTGTGTTATGCAGAATAAATTTAATCCCTCTTCCTTCAGTTTTTTGACAATAGCTGATTTTACCAGAAACCCTCCCCCTTTCCTCCAGTTCAGTAACCCCAGATCCTTCAGTGAGTGTTCATATGGCATTGTTTCAAGTTCCCTCCACACTGTATCAATCTCCTCTGGAAAAAATTCTTGTGTGCCTGTATCCCAGCATTAGACATAGTCTTCTGGTTTTATTCTGAACAGTTTACTATTAATCATAGTCTTAGCCATAAGAGTAATTATTGGTTAATGCTATATTACCAGTTGTTGAATATATACCTTTGGTATATATTCAAGTAAAATGTAATTAGAACTCTACCTATTCCCACACCACACCCAACCCTGTAAAAATTGCAAGAAAAAAATACAAAACTCATTTTGCCTGTTGTGTACAAATAGGCATTTTCATTCCATCTTTTCTACTTTGTTTTTCTGCTTTCATGTGTAAATATGTCTCTCTTCTCTGCGTCCAGCGTGGTTAGAGAGCAGTCCGGTTCCTGAGTAGGGGCGGCTAGGGATTGAGAAAATGAAAGAAAGAGACAGACACAGAGATGGAAGAAAAAAGCTAGGGCCGGGTGGGACCATTGTCCTCTGATGATGAGACAGGGACTAGGGACCCCAAGCCAATACAGCAAACGTATTTAATTTATACAGCAAAAAAACAGGAAGTTTTACTAAAAGTCAAGACAAAGGAGATTATGTGCATTCTTGGGTGGACCCAAGTCATATTCATTCCTGGTACTTGGCTGCATTTAAATAACAAAACCTACCCCATGGCACCTGGGCTGAAGGTCAGGCTGACAACACTCCTGCCTTTTGGCAAAGGGTGTTTCCAGGACGTGGCTTTGCCCACGCCACTGGATTCAGCTGACAATAATTAAAGAAATGCTCATGTGCCTTCCCAGGTGCTCTCCACATTCATGATCTGGAATTTGCATTCTAGGAAAATTCACAGGACTCCAACACAACATTCTATATTGACTTTTCAAGGAACTCATTTAGATCTGATATTTAGGTGATTCATTATTAGGCATTTTCTGTTAAGTAAGCAACTTAAATTTTATACTAAGATAACATCCTCTCTGTTTTTTTTCTCTTGATAACAGATATTAAAGAACATAATAATAATAATAGTTTTTAAATGTTTTCCATGCGCCTGAACTCTTGTATATTCTCATTTAATCTTTACAGCTATCCAGTGACATATGTGACATCCCCATTTTATAGTTGAGGACATTTTGACACCTAGACATTCAGTTTCTGCTCACAAATTTATGACTAGTACGGACCCAAGTATAAACAAAAGTCCATATAATGGAAAAGTCTTAGCTTTTTTGCAGTTCAAATCACCTCATTTATACTTTAAATTAGGAGAGGAACCCACCTAGGTCTTGACAAAACGTCTTTCTATTATTATTTTATTGTCAAAATCTGGGCAAGACCTGTATTCACTTTCAGGGTCTACCTTGTCCTTTTTTTTACTTAAAATAACAAACAGCAGGTCATCGAGTAATGATTAATTTAACATCTGATATAACATTGATGAGAAAAAGAAAAAGATTCCTGGCCAGATCACTGTGTGAAGTTTCCACATTCTTCCCATGTCTTCCCGGGTGTTCTCTGCTGACTTGGGTTCCTCTCACATCCCAAAGATACGCACGTGAGGTGAATTGACGTTTCTACCTTGTCCTAGTCTGAGCGAGTATGAATGTGTGTGTGAGTGGCCCTGTGATGGAAGGGCATCCTGTCTAGGTGCCCTGAACTGCCAGGTGAGCTTCTAGCCACCTGCAATCCTGAACTAAAATAAGCAGGTTGGAAAATAATTATTTTACCTGTTTTTATTAATTTTTATTAAATTTGTGAATAGCTCACATTTATTTCAATATTTAATATTAGAAGTAGTATCAACAATGTTAAGTGAAGACTTACTGCATAATCAAAATTTAAAATTATGTTTGCCAAAAATATCAGAAAAAGAGTTTCTCTTTTTCTGGTATTTTCCCCTTTAAATCTTATTTCTTCTTAGACAATATGCATTCATTCCTTTTTGCTTTTTTGTTCTTCATTTCCAAAATTTATTCTTCCCAAAAGTACATACATATCTGAGCAGGAACCAAAACTCTTAGTCAAGGATATAAGAGACCCCTAGCTTGACTCCATTCTTTAGAGGGCTGTTTTCTGTCTCTCCTTCAGCCTTGCCTCCCACCACCACCACCACCGTGGGGTCAGGATTTTGTAGGAGCAAGGGGACATGCCAGGGCATCACCTGTGACTTCCCCATCCTTCCTAGACCACTATTTTCAACTTTCAATTCTCTGTCCAAATAGCTCTGAGTCTGTGTGCCCGTTTTCTCCAAATCCATTCTCTCAAGGTGGCTCACATGATGTGTGTAGACTTAGGGGGCATGGCTACTAGTAAGATGCAGCAATTTGCAGAGAGGTGTAAACAAGCTTACATATGGATTGGGATGCTCATGGGAATGTTGATATTCTCCCATGTTAAATAATGTATCTGAGGGCAAGAAAAGAACGAGGGTGGACTACAGGCCAGGGTCTAGGGCAGGGGTGGGCAAACTTTTTGACTCGAGGGCCACAATGGGTTCTTAAACTGGACCGGAGGGCCGGAACAAAAGTATGGATGGAGTGTTTGTGTGAACTAATATAAATTCAAAGTAAACATCATTACATAAAAGGGTACGGTCTTTTTTTTTTTTTTTAGTTTTATTCATTTCAAACGGGCCGGATCCGGCCCGCAGGCCGTAGTTTGCCCACGGCTGGTCTAGGGTCTGTCTCTCCTCACACTGCCTTGGCCATGAATTCTGGCCTAGGTTCTCATTTGAAATGCAGACTCCTAGGTTGTTTTGTAAATATGTCAAGGAGAGGATAAAACATGTTTTGTTTAGAACTCTGTTTCCTTTATAACCATTCGTATCTAGACATATAGTATATAGGCTTCTATTTGTACTCTTGCCTTACGTCCCACAAATAGGGCAGGTCTCTTCAGAGCTGCTTCTTGGCAGCTTCTCTTTTTCTTAATGTCTCTTCAAGTTATGGAGATTTTCAGCAATTATAGCCAAGAACCGTTCTTTTCCTCTAAGGTGCGGCAAACTTCTTCGTCTCCACAGTCACCGTTTGCCCCTACACCATGACATCAGACTCAGATCTGATGAATTATGAATAAGTAAATTATTTTTCCTGACACATAATTAAAGAATAATCTGGTAAATTCTTTTCCCAATTCATTAAGTTCTTCATGTGTCTTTATTAAAATTTTTATTTTATTTTTTTGTCTTAGCTGTCTATGATGTAGTGGAAGAAAAGCTAGAAACTGAGCCAGACTTCCAGTACATTCCTGAAAAAGCCCCACTAGATAGCGTCCATCAGGATGATCATTCCCTGCGGGAGTCAATGATCCAGCTAGCCGAGGGGCTTATCACGGGAACAGTCCTGACACAATTTGATGTAAGTAATATGGTTTCTTTCTCTTTTTTTTTAAGATTTTTTAAATTTTGATATTTAAAGAGAGAATTGGGAAGGAGAGAAAGAGAAATATCCATCCCTGATGGATCAAGCCTGCAACCTGAGCATGTGCCCTGACAGGGAATTGAACCAGCAACCTTTCAGTGCATGGGACTACGCCCAACCAACTGAGACACACCAGCCAGGGCAATATTGTATGATTTCTTTTTTTTTTTTAATTGATTTCAGAGAGAAAGGGAGAGGGAGAGAGAAATAGAAACACCAATGATGAGAGAGAATCATTGATTGGCTGCCTCCTGCACTCCCCCTACTGGGGATCGAGCCCAAAACCCGGGCATGTGCCCTTGACCTGAGTAGAACTTGGAACCCTTCAGTCCGCAGGCCAACGCTCAATCCACTGAGCCAAACCAGCTAAGGCTGTATGATTTCTTAACTGCCTTATCTATCAGTTATAATTTACAAACTAAAATGGCATTCTGAGAAATATTTGAGAATAGTTCTAAAATACAAAGTTTTAAAAATTGCTCCCAAAACACTAGCTATGGTTACATAAATAGATGTCTACTTAAAAGATAAAAATAGATTTTTATACATATGTCATCAAACTACATTTTTTTCTGTAATTAAATAACTGTTTTTGTGAAAGTTGGCAGATGAAGGTAGGCAATTGCAGACTTAAAAATCCTAAGTTAAAGGAAAATAACTTGAACCTTGTAATATTTAATTTTTGTCAGTGTAGTTAGCCATCATTAGTATTTATGCTCTGAAGTATATGTTACAGGTAACTGACTAAAACATTTGTGACTAAAAAAAAGTTAAGGTCTGTCAGTTTTGTTTGTTTCTTTAAGTTCTGGGTTCATATACTTTAAATATCTACAAAGTAAATAAAAGCTAAATGTTTTCTGCAGATTTTCTGTTCAAAACTTCAGGTACTTTTTGCTGTAAGAAAAATTATCTTCGTTTATTTTGCCATTCTCTAAATCAGTGGTTCTCAGCCTTCCTAATGCCGCGACCCTTTAATATAGTTCCTCATGTTGTGGTGACCCCCAACCATAAAAATATTTTCGTTGCTACTTCATAACTGTAATTTTGCTACTGTTATGAATCATAATGTAAATATCTGATATGCTATATGTGTTTTCCGATGGTCGCGACCCACCGGTTGAGAACCACTGCTAAATTAGGACATACAATTCATGTCAGAATTTATACAGAATTTAGCTTTGCAAATCTGGTTTAATATCCTATCAGCCTAAGGTACATCATTGTATAGATGAGGTATTCTAAGGGGAAAAAAAAACTTGTTTCATAGCATAGGAACAAGTCGGAAAAACAAAATGATAACTTTTGATGGCTTGCTGATTGCGTACCTTTTTGTTTTGTTTGGTTTTAGCAACTATATCGGAAAAAACCTGGAATGACAATGTCTTGTGCCAAATTACCTCAGAATATTTCCAAAAATAGATACAGAGATATTTCGCCTTGTAAGTATCTATGATTTCCTGTATGTTAGGCTTTAATCTTTTTAACGTAACTTTACTAAAAAAATTTTCTTTTGAAATTTTTTCAGATGATGCTACACGGGTCATTTTAAAGGGTAATGAAGATTATATCAATGCAAATTATATAAATGTAAGTTTATTTTTATTATATCATTGGTATAAGAAGGGACACTATAAACTGAGATTTATTACTTTTTGTTAAAAGCCTAACCTTGAGAGAATATTAAAACTTTTACATATTTTAAAATATTATAAAATTAATGTTAAAAATAGTTTGATACTGGCATATTAATATATACATAGGACAATGAAATGGAATAATCTAGTCTAGAAATAGGCTGAAATAAAGACTAGAATTTTGTTTACGGTAGAGATAGCCTTTTAAATTATTTAAGGTAAAACTGATGATGTAGTAAATGAATTAGTTCTGTCTGGAATATACCATGGTAAGGAGGTCTCCTCCCACCCCCATGGGGCAAAAAGAGGATTACTATTTTTACTTTGTATTACAGAAAATTTTAAACATACATAAGTAGAGAAAAAGTAAAATGAACCTCCTTATACATATGACTCAGCTTCAACAATTACCAACTAATGGCCAACTTTGTTTCATCTATCCCCCCACACATCCACATTGTTTTGGAACAAATCCACACATCATATAATTGATCTATAAACACTTTACATATTCTTGAGGCCAGCATACATTTTAGATGTATCAAATATATATGTATGAAGTGGACATGAAAATACTTGGAGGAATATGTGAGAATTGTTTAAAATCTCAGAAGGGAGAAGGCTTTTCTAAGCTTAGGTACATGTCTGAGCTATAAAAAAAGATTGATGAGTTGGGCAATGTATAAATTTTAATTTGGGGGATGCTTTGAAAAGTACTAAAATGAAATGACAAACTGAATTTTTTAAGTAGTATAAAGGGCTTATTTCATCAATATATAAAGAGCTCTATAAGTCTCCGCCACCACCACTACACTCACCAGCTGTGAGCCCAGCTTGTGGCTGAGCAGCACTCCCCCTGTGGGAGCACACTGACCACCACGAGGCAGCTCCTGCATTGAGCGTCTGCTCCCTGGTGGTCAGTGTGTGTCATACTTACCGGTTGTTCCGCAGTTTGGTTGATTTGCATATTAGCCTTTTATTATATAGGATGGCCAATCTTGTTCCATCTAAACACTACCCCCCCCCAGATTTATTTAAATCAAATATATCACTTTTTGTAAATACAATCAATTCTTGTTATTTGTGATAGTCTATAAAGTCTTCATTGACCCTGAATTAGCAAATACTGAATCCTTGTTGCAAGGGAAAAATATATGGTATGGGTCCCATGAGCCTCTATTTGCAACATTTTTGTCAGTTAATCAGTACATAACCTTGCTTCTGTTTAAAGATACCTTATTTAATACACATTGCTGATTAATTAACATTGAACTCACACCCAACAGCACTATAACTCATGCCTGAAAGAAGCTTATCTAATGTGTATTTTCTCCATAAGGCATTTCATGGCCTCTTTACACTTAGAACAGTAGGCAGCACTTTAGCACTTGGGGACTGTTTTAAACAGTGAAATCGCTAACAACAAGCACAGAAATTTTAAAACATGGCACTACATAGACTGTAAAAAGGGCAGTTAAGTATGAGAGCAGAAGCAAGAAGGCAGAACAGCAGCATCTTACCAACATTAGCAGGAAATGTACACTTTGGGTGGCTCAGATTTTTTACCTCTTTGGACATGTCTATAAATAACCATGAAAGCTCTGCAAGCACTTTGGGATTACAAATAAATTTTAGCAAGCAGGCAAACTTTCAAATACAGAATCTGAATAGTGATGATTAACTATTTTAGTATGTATTTCTGGGGACCTTTTTTATTTTTATTTTTTTAACAAAACCACAATACCATTATAACACTTTAAAAAATAATACTAACAGTTAAATAAAAATACACTTTTCTTAAAAAGAAAAATGCAAATCAAAACTGCAAAGAATTACCATTTTTTACTTATTAGACTGAAATGTCGGAAAGTTTGATAATACTATATATAAGTCTATATCCCTTATCTGAAAACTTGAGATCAAAGATGCTTCAGAATTTAGAAATTTTTTGGATTTTTTTAAGGTTATTAAGTGGATATATCATATATTATATAGGTAACATCCTTAGCAGGCTATAATGAGTATATTATATTCAACATGCCAACTATAGATATTTCCACTAACAGTCTTAGATGAGATCAACTCAGATGTTCCTATCAAATGAGTCCAGGTTAGGTCAGGTGTACCAAAAGAAAAAGACAGAGTTACACTTTATTATTAAGGACATTATCAGGAAACAATCATTTCTCATACATTATGGTAAAAGTATAAATATGTGCAATCTCTTTGGAGAGCAATTTGGTACTCTCTGACAAAATTCTAAATGCACATATACTTTGATTCAGCATTGTCATTTCTTCCTATTGCCCACACAAATAGGTTTCTTGTAATGTACCCAAAAATTTTAGGTTTGCAAAAGTATTCAGTGCAGTTTTGTTTATGGTAGCAAAAAGATTAGCAGCAACTTAAATATCTGTTAAATAAAGTATGATATATTTATATAGTAGAGCCACTAAAAAGAATGAAATTTTTTTACTAATCTGACATGATCTCAAAGATAAAGTAGAAAAAAAGAAAATGGCCCTGGCCAGTTTTGGTGAGGGGTTAGAGCATTGGCCCTCAGACCGAAAGGACTCGGGTTCGATTCCCGGTCAAGGGCATGTACCTTGGTTTCAGGTTTGATTCCCCAGCCCTGGTCGGGAGGCAACCAGTTGATGTATCTCTCTCACATCATTGTTTCTCTCTCTCTCTCTCGCTCTCTCTCTCTCTCTCTCTCCTTCTCCCTCTCCCTCTCCCTTTCCCTCTCCCTCTCCCTCTTTCTTTCCCTCCCTCTCCCCCTCCTTCCTCCCTTTTACTCTCTCTCAAAATCAATGGAAAAAATATCTTCAGGTGAGGATTAAAAAAAAAGAAGAAACAAAATGCAGAACAACATTATATACTTATGTTTTACAGAAAAAAAAAAGAAAAATCGTTTTGATGTTCACTTGTGTGTTGTATGTAGAATATCTCTGAAAGGATATATTAGCAACTAAAAAATAGGATTGCTCTCCTGGACATAAACTGGAGGCTGGGATGAAAGGGAAATTTCTTTCTCTTTTCACCCTTTGGTATTCTTCCAATTGCCATGTGCATATGCCACCTTTTCTTTTTTTAAATTGAATCTCAAAATGTAGTAGGATGATGACTTATCTTACCCAAATACGATCTTAACATCTTTCTGAAAATAATAATGAATTTAAAATATTTTTAATATCCTTTTATGTTATCTATATATAAAAGGCTAATATGCTAATTGTACAACCATCTGACCGGTTGCTATGACACACATTGACCACCAGGGGGCAGATGCTCAATGCAGGAGCTCCCGTGACATGCACTGGCCATTTACAGAGAAATGACACCACGGACCTGGTGCCCATAAAGCAACACTCAGCTTCCCCAAAGTGGGACACAGGCCCTGCCACCACCCAGGAGCGACAGCCCACCAAATCGCAGCCAACGCTGCCAAGACCCCATGGTGCAAAGTGCGGCCCACAGCCCACCCGAGCCCAGAAATGGTGGCTGTGCACGCTGGCTAATGACGTCACATAACAATTCATGGCTTCCTCTCCCTAGTGAATAACCTCCTTGTTGGTTCTTCAGCCCAGGAACACGACTTGCTTTATAGCCAGGTGGAAACATTTTACACTTTAACCAAATGTCTGTTTTCCCGTGCCTCATCTCATTTGATCCTCACAGAAGTCCTGGAGTAGGTAGATAGGAGACTTGGTGGAATCCTATTTTCTTTTCATTAGCCAGAAAACAAGATTTAGAAAGCTTAGAAACTTGACCCAACTGAAAAGAAATAAGAAATGGTGGACCTTGAAAATGACTTCAGGTTTTCTCACTGTACAGAATATAGTCAATCACTGCTGCAGTTAAATATTTCACCCTTTGTTCTCCCTGCATGATCTATAATAATAATCTGCTTCATGTTGATATTTACTGCTGTGTTGCTGACAATTACCTGAAAGAGAAGTTGGGGGTGCTTCACTGGGCTGGAAAAAGTTTAGCTAAATCAGAAAGCAGGTCTAATTAAGCAAATTTATCTATATATGTAAAGCTCTCGTTAGCGCCAATTGCACGCATGTGTTTCCATCTGTCATTGTCAATTGTGAATTTCGTTGACACTTCTATTATAGAGAAAGAGTGAATAGCAATATTAAAATATTCTATTTCCTTTCTGTGTGCATGAATTTGTGCACTGGGCCTCTAGTATATTATATAAAATCTAAACTAAATTGGCAGAACTTTTGCTCCTCACAAATTTTACCAGTAAATGTTTAGAGACCAAGTCTCTGCCTCTGAAACTGGGTTCTCTGTAAAATTTCTCTTAAAACCATAATAGTGCTTTGAAAAATACTTGGATTTCTGTTTCTATTGTTTCTATTAATTGGAAGATATATATATATAGGCTGTTGCCAAGAAATTTCTTCTACAGGTAAAATAAGAAAGTGTTGATAATGATTTGTTGTGCTTACCAGCTGGAATGGCTCATCCTGTGCACCGAAAGATTGCCAGCTCAATTCCTGGTCAAGGCATATACCCAGGTTCTGGGGTCCATCTTCGGACAGGGCACACAAGGCAGCCAATTGATGTTTCTTTCTCTCTCTCTCTCTCTCTCTACCTGTCCCCCCCACCACCACCACCTCTCCTTCCCTCCCTTTGTCCCTTCCTCTCTCTAAGCATGTCCTCAGGTGAATATTTAAAAAAATTTTTTATTTAAAGATTTGTTGTACTGACTTTGTAGTTTATTGGGATTAGTTGCATTCAATTATTTCATGGATGATTTTCATATGCTTGATAATAGTAAAAAGTACTAATATAAACGGTTTTTATTTTCATGTCTTTTTGTTTTAAGATGGAAATTCCTTCTTCTAGCATTATAAATCAGTACATTGCTTGTCAAGGGCCATTACCACACACTTGTACAGATTTTTGGCGGATGACTTGGGAACAAGGCTCCTCCATGGTTGTAATGTTGACCACACAAGTTGAACGTGGCAGAGTAAGTTATACTTGAATCTTACACCTTGCTTGGGCCTTCTTCAAATTACACTGCATATACTTATAGTCAAAATGTTCACATTGATTTAGTCTTTTTTATAACCTTTACATCCATAGAGGACAGAAAGTAGATTAGTGCTTGTCTAAGTCTGGAGTTGGGTTTAGAGGAGTGGGATAGAGGAATGAATGCACATTGGTTACTAATGGGTATGGGATTTCTTTTGGAAGTGATGAAGTGATCGTGGTGATGGTTGCACAGCTCTGTGAATATATTAAAAACTAGTGGCCCGTTGCACGAAGATTCGCACAATAGGCCTTCCTACCCCTGGCTGCCGGCACCGGTTTTTCTCCGGCACCCGGGATCCAGGCCTTTGGTCCGGCCACAGCAGCGAGGCTTGGCTTCTCCGCTCCGGCTGCTCCCAGCCCCTCCTTTTTTTTCCACTCCTTGAGTGGAGCCCAGGCCCCCAGCCCCTCCTTGAGCAGAGCCCAGGGCCAGTGGGAAGCTTGGCTTTCTCTGTCACCGGGAGCAACCCAAGCCTTCTGCTCACTCCAGCTCTGTGGCCGCCGCCATCTTCAGTCTTCACTCCGCTTCTGCGTGTGCAAATTAAACACCATCTTTGTTGGGTTAATTTGCATAGTCACTTTGATTGGCTGGTGGGTGTAGCGGAGTGATGGTTAATTTGCATGTTCCTCTTTTATTAGTGTAGATCATTGAATTGTGTACTTTTTTAGTTTCCGAGATCAGACAAGATCGGGCGCGTTCAGGGTGGTATGGCCGTAGACGAATTGTGTACTTTTTTAAAAAAAAATTTTTTAATGAGTTGGTGTACAATATTATATTACATGCAGGTGATTAGACATTTTATATAACTTATGAAGTGATCAACTGGATAAATCTATTACCCATCTGACACCATACATAGTTATTACAGTACTATTGACTGTATTCTTATGCTCTACTTTACGTTCCTATGACTATTCTGTAACTACCAATTTGTACTTCTTAATCCCTTCACTTTTTTTACCCATTCCTCCAAGCCCCCTTGCATCTGGCAACCATCAAAATGTTCTCTGTATCTATGAGTCTGTTTCTGTTCTGATTGTTTATTTTGGTTTTCAGAGTCCACATACAAGTGATATCTTCTGTCATTTGTCTTTCTCTGATTTATTTCACTCAGCACAGTACCCTCTAGGTCAGTGATGGCGAACCTATGACACGCGTGTCAGAGGTGACACGCGAACTCATTTTTTTGGTTGATTTTTCTTTGTTAAATGGCATTTAAATATATAAAATAAATATCAAAAATATAAGTCTGTGCTCACTTCAGCAGCACATATACTAAAATTGGAACGATACAGAGAAGATTAGCATGACCCCTGCGCAAGGATGACACGCAAATTCATGAAGCGTTCCATATTTAAAAAAAAAAAAAGTAAAAAAAAAAAAAAAATATATATATATATATATATATACACACACACTAATAAAAGAGAAACATGGTAATTAGCGTACGACCGCTACCCTTTTCATTGGCTAATCAGTGAGTATATGCAAATTAACTGTCAGCCAAGATGGCGGCCATCAGCCAGGCAGCTGGAAGCGAACATGAGGCTTGCTTGCTTCAGTGAAGGAGGACTCCAACGTTCCCCGCCTGCGCTGCCGGCCTCTGAGCTGGCAGTTTGAAACTTTGTAACAAATATAGAAGTTAAACAAAACCCAGCTTCATCCAGCCAGACCGCAACATTGTATCGTTGTTTTCAGCAGCGAGGCCTCAGAGCTAAAGCTGGCCCAGAATAAAAAAAAAGAAAGAAAAAAAGGAGCGGTTGGGAGCTTCAGTCACTCGCTTCTGGAAAACAGCCCTCAGCCCCTCACCCAGACTGGCCAGGCACCCCAATGGGGACCCCCACCCTGATCCAGGACACCCTTCAGGGCAAACCAGCCGGCCCCCACCCGTGCACCAGGCCTCTATCTTATATAGTAAAAGGGTAATATGCCTCCCAGCACCGGGATCAGCAGAGCAGCAAAGCTCCCGGCACCAGGATCAGCATAACAGGGGGCAGCGCCCAAACCCCCTGATCAGCCCTGCTCTGTGCCTGATAGGGGGGAGCTCCCCAATCCCCTGATTGCCATGCGGCTCTGTGTTTGACAGGGTGCGGCGCCCCAACCCCCTGATCGGCCCTGCTCTGTGGGTGATAGAGGGTGGCGCCCCAACCCCCCTCCACGGGCCTTGCTCTGTGTGTGACAGGGTAGAGCCATAACCTCCCCATTGACCTTGCCCTGAGTGTGACAGGGTGCAGCGCCCCAACCCCCTGATCCGCCCTGCTCTGTGTGTGACAGGGTATGGAGCCCCAACCCCCCTGATGGGCCCTGCTCTGTGAGTGACAGGGGGCAGCGCCCCAACCCCCTGATCGGCCCTGCTCTGTGAGTGACTGGGGGCAGTGCCCCAACCCCCTGATCGGCCCTGCTCTGTGCGTGACAGGGGGTGGCACCGCAACCTCCCCATCAACCCTGCCTTGAGTGTGACAGGGGGCGTTACCCCAGCCCCCCAATCGGCCCTACCCTGAGCATGATTGGGGGTGGCATCGCAACCTCCCTATCCGCCCTGCTCTGTGCATGAGGGGGCGGCGCCCCAACTCCCCAATCGGCCCTGTTCTGAGCCTGCCCAGGGGCTGCACCTAGGGATTGGGCCTGCCCTCTCCCACCTGGGAGCAGGCCTAAGCCACCAGGTCGTTATCTCCCAAGGGGTCCCAGACTGCGAGAGGGCACAGCCCGGGCTGGGGGACCCTCTCCCCCCCCCCCCCCAGTGCACAAATTTTTGTGCACCGGGCCTCTAGTATATATATATATATATATATGTGTATATATGTCTTTGTTTTACTATGGTTGCAAATATCAAAAAATTTCTATATGTGACACGGCACCAGAGTTAAGTTAGGGTTTTTCAAAATGCTGACACATCGAGCTCAAAAGGTTCGCCATCTGCTCTAGGTCCATCCATGTTGTTGCAGGTGGCAAAGTTTTATTCTTTTTTATGCCTGAATCATAGTCCATCATATATATCCAGTTCTTCTTCTTTATCCATTCATCTATTGATGAACAACTTGGTTACTTCCATATCTTGGCTATTGTAAATAATGTTTCAGTGAACATATGGACATATATGTCTTTTCAGTTTTGTGTTTTGTGTTTCTTCAGATAAATACCCATAAGTGGAATTGCTGGGTCCCTCCCTGTCTCTTGTTACAGCCTTTTTTAAAAAGTATATTTTGTCTGGTATAAATATTGTTACCCCAGCTTTTCTTTTTATTTCCATTTTTATGAAATGTCCTTTTCCATCCTTTTATTTTCAGTCTGTATGTGTCTTTTGATCTGAAGTGAGTCTTTTGTAGACAGCGTATATAATGGTCTTGTATTGTTATCCATTCAGACACCATATGTGTTTTGTTTGAAGCATTTAATCCATTTGCATTTAAAGTAATTGTTGATGGATATTTATTGCCAATTTTGTTCATAATTTTTATCTATTTTTTCCCCTTCTTTTAGAGAAGACCCTTGAACATTTCTTGTAATACTGGTTTGGTGGTGATGAATTTCTTTAGCTTTTTCTTATCTGGGAAGCTCTTTTATCTCTTTTTCAATTCTTAATGATAGTTTTGCTGAGTAATCTTGGTTATAGGTCCTTCTTCTCATCAGTTTGAATATTTCTTGCCAATCCCTTCTGGTCTGAAAAGTTTCTGTTAAGAAATCAGCTGACAGTCTTATGGGAGCTCCCTTGTAAGTAACTAATTACTTTCCTCATGCTGCTTTCAAGAATCTCTCTTTGTCTTTAACCTTTGGCTTTTTTGTTATTGTTGTTATTGATGAGAGAGAGAGCGAGAAACATCAATGTGAGAAAGAAACATCAATTGGTTGCCCCCCCCCCCTACCCCCCGCACACACCTCTACCAGGGATTGAACCCACAACCTCTTGGTGTATAGGACTACTCTCCAACCAACCGAGCCACACCAGCCAGGGCAACCTTTGGCATTTTAATGATGTGTCTTGGTGGGGGCTTCTTTGGGTTCATCTTGTATGTAACACTCTGGGCTTCCAAGACTTGTATATCTGTTTCTTTCATTGGGTTAAGGTAGTTTTCTGTCGTTACTTTTTTCAAATAGGTTTCAAGATCTTGCTCTTTCTCTTCTCCTCCTGGTACCCCCATGATTCTAATGTTGGTACACTCGAAATTGTCCCAGAGGCTGCTTATACTGTCCTCATTTTTTGGATTTTTTTTTTCTTTCTGTTTTGACTGGGTGTTTTCTGCTTCCTTATCTGCCAAATCACTGATTTGATCCTCTGCTTTATCTATCCTCTACTGTTGGTTTCCTGTATTCTTTTTATTTTGTATTGATTGATTGATTTTATACATTCATTGGTTGATTCTTGTATGTGCCATGACCAGGATCAACCTTGGCATATCAGGACAACCAACTGAGTTACCTGCCAGAGCCCCCTGTGATGTATTCTTTATTTCAGTTATTGTATTCTTCATTTCTGATTAGTGCTTTTTTATGCTTTCTATCTCCATTTTTATGTTTTTATCTCCATTTTATATTTCCTATCTATTTGTTGAAGTTCTCACTAAGTTCATCTACTCTTCCCCTAAGTTCATTGAGCCCCCTTATAGCCAGTGTTTTGAACTCTACTTCCAACAGATTGTCTCCGATTTGTTTCGTTCTCTTTCTGGAGTTTTATTCTGTTCCTTCATTTAGGACATGTTCCTTTGTATCCTCATTTTGGCTGCCTCCCTGTGTTTGTTTCCATGTATTAAGTAGGGCTGTTAGTCTCCCAGGCTTGGTAGATTGGCCTTATATACCAGTAATAGGTGTCTTGTAGGGCCCAATGACACGGCCTTCCCGGTCATCCAAGCTGCTCCAGGTGGGCCCCCCATGCGGGCTAAGTACACCCTCCTGTTGTAGTTGAACCTTGATCGCTGTTGACACTTCAAAGGGAGGATTTACGCCCAGGCCACCTGGCTGCAAGGACTCACTATGACTGCCTTGCAGGATCAGCTGTGCAGGGGCAGACCCCACAGAGCAGGACTTTACAGCAGGGCTCTGATGCCTGCTGGGTCCGCCCCTTGTGTGTGTCACTTGTGGAGGTGGTTGCGTGGTGGTGCTTTGATGTTTTCTGAAGCTGTTCACTGGGTGCCACCTATGCCCTGCCTGGGGTCACCAGACCTGAGCACAAAGTGATTTGCAGTTGGCTACTATTTTTCCTGAGTTTAGAGGTGCCCAGGAGAGGCCAAGCTGCTAACCAAGGCAGGCTGCCTCGAGTGCCAGGACTGGGCCACTTTGCAAGAGGTACGGGGCACACTGAGGCCAGATGCTGCTTGTTTGAGAGATTTTGTGAAAATTGTTTATATGGAAAAGGCACTGGAAAGAGATTGGGTGGGGTGGTCTCATAGAGTCACAACAGTGTTAGGTTGATGGAGACTAAGATATGGCATCCACCTTCTGGCTCTATGGAGGGAAGGCTCAGTAAAGAAACGAGGGTCTCTGCCAGCACTTCTACCTGGGAGAAAGCTGCCCTTCCAGCCCTCGCTGGACCATTCAGTTTTTCCCTTTGTGTCCCTGGTGCCTTTCAAGCTGCTGTGAGTCCAAGTAAGTCCCTGTATGGCCCCTTTAAGAGGAACGCCTGGTGATAAAAAAAATTAAGTCAACTTAAATTTTTAAAAAAGAGGAATGCCTGGGATTCCAGCAGCCCCTCTCTCTGTCTTACTCAACCACAATCCCTGCTGGTTTTCACAGGGAAAAGTTAAGGGGACTTCACTTCCTAGTACTGAAACACTGGTCAGGGGCTTGGTGTGGCGCTGGGACTCCTTGCTCCTCAGGGGGTCCCTTCACAGCCCCCATATCCCTCCTGATTTTTGACTGTTACACATGGGTATGGCACTAGCCCATTCTGCATCTCTGCCCCTCCTACCAGTCTAGACATGGCGTCTGTATATCCTTAGTTATAGGACTTTAGTTCAGCTAGGCTTCAGGCAGTTCTGAATGGAAGTTGTTTTGTAGTTTAGTTGTAATTTTGATGTAGTTGTGGGAGGAAGTGAGCACAGCATTTACCTATACTGCCATCTTGACTGGAAGCTGAATTGTGTAGTTTAAATGGGTGAGTTATATATCAAGAAAGCTGTTGTTGTTGTTTTTTAAAATCTAATTGTGAAAATAAATGGATTGTATTTGGCATTTTAGTTGAAGATTGTTAACTTAAATCTAAAAAGATTAAAATTAGTGCAGCATTTTGCCGTTCTCATAGTAATAATTGACTCAGGCAAGAATTCATCACACATGGTAAAACACTGAGTGAAAGCTTATTGTATACAGGATATTTGCAGTCTCAAAATATATCCAAACAGATTATTACAAAGAGAAAAAAATGACAAAGAAATGTTAATAGTTGACAGAACTAGGTGCAGCATGTATGAGAGTTTATTAAATTTTTCTTGTAACTTTTCTGTAAGTTTGAAAGTTATATTAAAATATCATAATTTTTAATATATATATATATATTTAATCTATTGATTTTAGGTGAAGTGCCACCAGTATTGGCCAGAGCCCACAGGAAGTTCATCCTATGGATGCTACCAAGTCACCTGCCACTCGGAAGAAGGAAATACTGCATATATCTTCAGGAAGATGACACTATTTAACCAAGAGGTAGGAAGCAAGATAGGTACCGTTCATTAGAACTGTTATGTTCAAGGTGAAGACTGAAAGCTGAAAATATTATTTTTAATTATTGAACTATTTGATTTTTGGTCTGCAATTTGGAATCTCATGACGTGTATTTCCTTTCTATAGTAAATTTCCAATTTCTATAGTTAAATATGAGTGGTCAGTGAGAAAATAATCTAGTAAATAAATACTTATTACTCTTAAAACTAAGGATATTCATGCCCTGCCGGCCTGACTCAGTGGTTGAGCATTGACCTATGAACCAGGAGGTCACAGTTCAATTCCCAGTCAGGGCACATACTCAGGTTGCGGGCTCGATCCCCAGTGTGCATGCAGGAGGCAGTTGATCAATGATTCTCCCTCATCATTGATGTTTCTATCTCTCCCTCTCCCTTCCTCTCTGAAATCAATAAAAATATATATTTTTTTAAAATAACTATGCATACTCATAAAAAGTATAGCTTAGATGTTTTTGGTTGTAATGATTTTTCCCCTCCAAATAATATCAAATATTTGAGTACATTTGTGGAAATGGAAAGAACAATTAATTGTAAGTTATCAAATTATTCCTCTTTTTGAAGAGAGTACAGGAGAGATATTTCAGTCTCCTCAGTATTAAGGAGGAAAGAACGTAGGCAGGACCCTCCCACAGCAGATAGATTGTATCTTTCTTTTTAAATATATTTTTATTGATTTTAGCAAGGAAAGGAGGAGGAGAGGGGAGAGAGAGAGAGAGAGAGAAAGAAAGAGAGAGAGAGAAAAAGAGAGAGAGATAAACATCAATGATGGGAGAGAATCATTGATTGGCCACCTCCTGCATGCCCTACACTGGGGGTCGAGCATATGGCCTCACAAGGAATCGAACCATGACCTCCTGTTTTATAGGTCAATGCTCAACCACTGAGCCACGCCAGCCAGGCTATCATAGCTTTCTAATTTCTTCTTATTGCCAACTGAGTCACTCTCCTTAGCTTCCAAATCCAGACTCAGAGATGGAAATTGATTAATAAATGATGGCTTAATAACCCAATTGGAAGATGTGTGTGGAAGGTGGCATTGCTGTCAGTCTGCTAGAAACAGTGTACCCCACTTTTACTGCCTGCAACTAGATATTCCCCTGCCACCTTTGGTTTTGAAGGGCATTGTGAGAAGAAGAAGCAATTGCTAGAAAAGAGCAAACAGCACAAACTGTGAAGACCCAGGCCTATCCCATTGGAAATGAGAACTCCATTCCCTTCCACCCCCCTGAGTATGATTAAAAGAGCCCAGCAAGATAGAGCCTTACTGACCAAAAGGAAGGAGCTAGATGTTGTGCTGACTTATATTAAAGGAATCTGACATTGATTAAAGCTAAAGTTATAAGAAATTAAAAATTGAATAGTTTGAAAATCTTATGGGCTAGAGATTCCATCAGAATGAATTTAGTGTTTAGGGTTATATACTATATAGCTCATAGTCTAACATAACAAGGCAAGCCAGTAAAATATTTCTTCATTTTCTCAAGTAGATATGAGAGGTTGTAAATAGTTACATAGACTAATACTGGTATCTTCAGCATAGTCTCTTTATTGTACTCCACCTGTAGATTATTCACAACAGTTTTATATACTGTAATGGCTTTTCTTTACAAACTCTGAATACGTCAAAACTAGACTAAGACGCAAATTAGATTCTAAAGTGTGACCCAAATGTAATTAAGAAAATAAATTTGCGGAGAAAACCAAGATGGCAGCATAGGTAAACAGCTGTACTTGCTGCCTCCCACAACCACATCAAAATTACAACTAAAATACATAACTATCATCCAGAACCTCGGGAAACCTGGCTGAGTGGAAGTACTACAACTAGAGAGGTAAAGAAGAAAGCGCATTGAGACTGGTAGCAGGTGCAGAGGCGCAGAACGGGCTGACACCCGGGTGTGCTGCTCTTTTCATTGAGAGGGGGATGCAAGCTCCCGCTTGCTCTGAGCTCCAGTGCCGGGTGAGACTTGGGGGGACCCAGACACATATGGGGAGAAACGACTGTCTGGCATTGAACACAGGGGCAGGAACACAGGGGCAGCTTTCTTCCAGACTGAGGTGCTCGCAACGGTCATTGTTCCTGTACTGGGACCTCCCCGGTGCAGGGCTGACTGGCAGCCATTTCTGTTTGCTCCACACTGGAGATTCTCTGAGACCCCGCCCTACCCAATTTACAAAGCCACCAAGCTGTGCTTCAGTGGCTTTTGCATATGAATGGCCTGTCCTTTCTTAGCCTAAAACCTGTCAAACAAGGTGCAGCTGGCTCAGGGAGCTCCCAAAGCTATCAAAAGAAGGCCCAAGGCCACACCAGCCTGCCTTGCTTCACAGCTGGGCCTCATCTGAGCACTTCCAAACCTGATACAAAGAGGAGGAATCTGCAGATCTCTCTGTAGCTCCTGCTGGGTGGCCCCAGGCAGTGGCTGACTTTGCACCTCCTTGGAAATCCAAGAGCCAGTGTATCGAGTAGTCAGTGTGAGACCATACCAGATTACAACTCTTCACATCCATAGGTGACACACTAAAGGGGCAGACTCTGGGAGCACCAAAGCCCCACTAAAGCAAGTCCTGCCCCATAAGGGTGTCTCCTGCACAGCAGCTCTTCCATTGTAGACACAGCTGGTCCTCACAGCCAACTGGCCTGGAGGTCATATCCTCCCAGTGATACCAACAGCAATCAAGGCTCAACTACAACAAGACTGTGCACACAGCCCACAAAGGGGTGCACCAAGAGTGTCCACATCAGGTGATTGGGGAGGCCAAGCCACTGGGCCCTATAGGACCCCTACCACACAAGGCCACTCTATCAACTCAAGGAGACTTAGCAGCTACCCAATACATAGAAACAAACAGGGAAGCAGCCAAAATGCGGAGGCAAAGAAACATGTCACAAATGGAAGAAAGCAAACTACTGGATATAGAGTTCAAAACCACAGTTATAAGGTTACTCAAGAATCTTCTAGAAACGTCCAAGGAACTTACTGAGAACTTCAAGGATCTTGGTGAGAATGCCAAAAAAAATGGAAAAGGGCCAGTCAGAAATTTAGCATACACTAACTGAAATAAAGAATAATATACAGGGATTCAACAGTTGACTAGAGGATCCCAAGAATGAAGTCAAAAACTTGAAATACGAGGAAGCAAAAAAACACCCAACTGGAAGAGCAAAAAGAAAAAGTAATCCAAAAATATGAAGATAGTGTAAGGAGCCTCTGGGACAACTTCAAGCATACCAACATCCGAATTATGGAGGTGCCAGAAAGAGAGAGCAAGATATTGAAAACCTATTTGAAGAAATAATGACAGAAAACTTCCCCTACCTGGTGAAAGAAATAGACTTACAAGTCCAGGAAGCGCGGAGAACCCTAAACAAGAGGAATCCAAAGAGGACCACACCAAGACATATCATAATTAAAATGCCGAGGGCAAAAGACAAAGAGAGAATCTTAAAAGCAGCAAGAGAAAAACAGTTAGTTACCTACAAGGGAGTACCCATACGACTGTCAGCTGATTTCTCAACAGAAACTATGCAGGCCAGGAGGGAGTGGCAAGAAATATTCAAAGTGATGAATAGCAAGAACCTACAACCAAGATTACTTTACCCAGCAAAGCTATCATTTAGAATTGAAGGTCAGATAAAGACAAGAAAAAGTTAAAGGAGTTCATCACCACCAAGCTAGTATTATATGAAATGCTGAATGGTATTCTTTAAGAAGAGGAAGAAGAAGAAAAAGGTAAAGATAAAAAATTATGGACAACAAAGTGACAACAAGTACATATCTATCAACAAGTGAATCTAAAAGTCAAATGAATAAAAAATCTGATGAACAGAATAAAATGGTGAATGTAATAGAATCAGGGGCATGGAAAGGGAGCGGACCGACAATTCTCAGTGGTGAAGAGGGGTCGAGGGCGGTGCGGAACAGAATGGGACCAAGGATCTTTTTTTTTTTTAAATAAATCTTTATTGTTCAGATTATTA